TTTGGGGGGGGGGAAGGGATTATTTCAATTTCTTTCTGCAAAATGTTTTTTTTTTTTTCCCACCCTGCTACCCTCAGTGGTCATTTTGTTCGGTCTCCCCGGATGCGAACCCTCTCCCCCCCCCCACATCTCCTCTGATGGCAATTATGGCTAAAAACAATTCAGGTGCTCAGACATGAAAATGTGCCGCTCAAACACGATACTTTTCCGCACACACTGAAAAAAAATTAGAGGGAACATTGGTGGGAAGGTATGGAAAGTCTCAATATTTACTTCTTTATTTTTAAAGAAAGGAAGCCCAAATTCCAATCAAGAGGGTGCACAAATCAATTACTCGGAAAGGAAGGAGAAAAAAGAACAAGCAACCAACTCAACGGAAAACGGGTACTCGTGGGGGGGGGGGCAATCAGACACATTGCAGAGGAGTTGCGAAGCTGCACAACTATTTGTGGGCATCACAATGAGAGAGCGAGAGAGAAATGAGGTATTACAGCCCGTCCTACCTCCCACACCCCTGCAAACCGACAGAACTAACCTGAGCATGAAACCCCACAATGTCGCAGCGCTGAACAGATTCACACACTATTCCCCCCCCACCCCACCCTCCCAAGCCAAAGAGCCAGGCTACCATAAAACTGGTTCCAAGAAGCCATTTTGGTTTTTTTATTTGGGTAGCTATTTTTTGTTTGTTTAAGACACAGGTGTGATGCTTCGGATGAGGACCTAACAACCGAGCTGGGGATGAGACATGTAAACCCCACCTCGCCCCACCCCACCCCATCCCATGGGAATGTTTCTACAACTTTCTCTCTGTTTGGTGCACGGGGGGGGCCTGACAGCCAGCCCTTGCTGCCTCTCCCTGGGGTATGGAGAGAGAAAAGAATTAAAATGAATTTTTTAAAAGAGAGTACAGCTAAAAGGGAATCCAGAGCCAAGTAAGTGCACAAATAATAGATATCTCTCCCCTACGCATAACTCAGATATACTAAGTTCCCAAGAACCATAAGGGAATCTTTTAGTCCTCTAGTTTCAAGTCCTCTTGAAGGTGACTGGATCAAAGCTTCCAGTGGTCACTTTGTTCCTGGCGTGGGCCAAATCTGTCCCACTAGGACCCACCGCTGTCCTTCCCACTATTGGGTGTCCTCCAGCTGGCTGGCCCCACAGCCCATCATCCTAGACAGCACAGCAATTAAAAGCGAGGCTCCAAGTCAAGAAGGCTGATCTCTCCTGCCAAAGAGGGTGGGGAGAATCAAGGAGAGAGATGCCCCCGCCCCCAGGCCTTTGAGAAGTTCAACCTCGCATCAACAAATTCCAGAACTTGTGTGCAGACTCAACACTAGAGAGAGAGAGAGAGAGAGAGAGAGAGAGACAGAGACAGAGACAGAGACAGACAGAGAGAGGGAGGGAGAGACAGAGAGAGAGAGGGAGGGAGAGAGAGAGAGCAGATCCCATTTGCTTTGGCAGTCCCGAGTCTCCCCTCGCTTTTGGCAAAGATGGAAGAATAGAAGACGTCTTTGGAGAAGACGCGGAAGGATGCGTGTGAAGGGGAATGTCGGAGGTAGGTTTTAAAGACAATCTTAGAAAAATCAGGCACGTTACAAGTATAATATTACACAAAAACCCTATTCCAGAAAAAAGGCCTCTCCTTCTGCAAGTGGGGTCTTGCAGAAAACCTTGCCACTGGTGGGGAAAGAGGAAAAGGAGTGGGGATTCAGATTTTTTTTTTAATTTTGTTTTTTTAAGAAAAGCATCACTTGTTAGCAAGACCAAATCCTCAAATTGGGGCCAAAGGGGAAGGGGGGGGGAAATATTGAAAGTGGGTTTGTTCCTGCAAGAGAAGTTCAACACCCTGAGTCCCATTGGATCAGGTAGCAGCAGAGTGGGAAGAAATAGCATGCAGCAGGGACATGGGTCACTCTAGGCCCTGCCTCTGGTGAGATGGGAGACTCAAAATAGATTTTAAAGCAGCTTATTTGAATCAGCTCAAAACTTGAGGGAAGCAGAGGTGTCCAACTGTGGCAACTTTTAAGACTTGTGGATTTCAATTCCCAGAATTCCTCAGCCAACTAAGACTCAAAAACTTCAATTCCCAGAATTTCCCAGCCAGCTAAGACTTGTGGATATTATTTCCCAGAATTCCCAACAGCTATGCTGGCTGGGGAATTCTGGGAGTTAAAGTCCACAGGTCTTAAAGTTGCCAAGGTTGGGCACCCGTTTTAGAGTCAGCATCCACCCAAAAGTTGCCCAACGAATCACCAACCCTCCAAATCTTCCGCACAACTTACGCATCCCGGCAGACTCCCCGAATGAAGGGATTAACTCCGGTGTGTTAAAAGCCTGAGGGAGCTTTAAATGCCCGCGCACACCAACATATGCACAAATGGACCTCCCGAGGAAGAAAGCGTCTTGAAACATGGATGGATCGACGCATGTGGGATTGGTACCCAAGCCCCATATTTAAGAAATTTGGAGAGGAGAAAGATTAAACCGTGCAGGACTTTCCTAACTCATCCAAGACACGAATTTGGCAGAGTTTTGAGATGATTGTTTTGAACGAGGCAAACTGAGTTACTTTGCCGTCGCGCTTGCTTGGGCCAAGCCTGGAGGATGCCTTTGATTTGGGTTTCCATGCCACCCATGATCCTCTCAAAGGCTGCTGTGGTGCCACTTCTGAACCACGTTAGGGGTGTGTGTGTAAAATAAAGGTTTCTTACAGGGACGAAGGGACAAGTGAAGTTTAGAAGCACGAGACAGCCCAGACCACTGCAATGGGGCTGAACAGAGGAAGCAGATGGAAAAAATCAGTAAAAAACGATTCAATAGGTTTTCTTTTCTTTTTGCTTCCGGTCTCGCTTGTACAAACAAAGTCCTCAAGCTGGGTGTCAGTCCGAGACCTTGTTAGTGAGAAAAGAAGGAGCATTTATGCTCCCAGGCCAGCTGTGGTGCTCCTCAGCCTATCATGGATGCTGGAGTATTGTTATTATTTTTGAGGAAAGGGTCTCAAAATTCTTAGGTAAAGGTTAAGGAAGGAGGGAAGCCCCAACTGCCAGAGAGGAGGCAGGGGGAATGACAGAAGGAGAGGCGGTGAGGCAGAGGTGTGAGTGTGTTTGTGTCTGCGTGCGGATGTGTGATCCAACCAATAAGGGAGACACTGACCCAAAGTGGGAAGTGGGCAGCAGGAGAAAGATTAGAAGCCCAAGAGAGAGCCTGGACAAGTGAAGGTTCTCATCGAAGACTGAAAAGCCATCAGGAGGCATTCTGGTTCTGGAAGATTGAGGCTTTCTCCTTCAGCAAATCCAGGCAGAGGTGGCAGCTCCAGCTTCCTGCCAAGGGAAAAGCATTTTCATTAGTCAAGTCGTTTTTATTGTACATTTTTCTTTATAATACATCACATTTCCACTTGTGCTGGCTCTATCCACTGCTTTTTGAGTAGACAAGAGTTTTATACACCCTGATTATAACCAACATTCTCTTAATCATACATTTATAGTCTCTTTTAAATACATAATGTTGTACGTCATAGTTATAGGCATTATTTTCATAATTGTACCATCAATCCTATATATTAATCTCTCTCCTTTCACCTTTCTCCTTCTCCCTTTTCCTCTTCTCCTCTCCCCTCGTCTCTCTCCTCTTTTCCACTTCCCTCTCTCTTATTCCTCTCCTCTCGGCCATTTCCTTCTCCTCTTTCCCCTGTCTACTTCTACCTTCTCGTCTTCCCTCGACTTCTCTCTCCTGTCCTCCGCCTTGTGTGTGGGTAATTCTTGACTTACACCCATAACTGGGCCCAAAATTTCAGTTGAGAAATTTGTCAAGTGAGTTTTACCCCGTTTGACCCCCTTTCTTAGCCACGGTTGTTAAATGAATCACTGCAGGTGCTTAAGTCTTGTGGTTCTTAAGGGAATGTGGCTTCCCCCCATGGACTTTGCTCATCGGAAGGTCGCAAAAGGGGATCAGGTGGACTGGGGGCACTGTGACCATCATAAATGTGAGTCACCTGTCAAGCATCCGAATATAAATCATGTGATTGCGGGGATGCTGCAACGGTCATAAGTGTAAAAAGCTCACTATTTTCAGTTCTGTTATTAAACTTCAAATGGTCACTAAACAAACTGTTGTAAGTCGAGGACTACATATAATGTGACTCAGTCCCTTTCCCCCTTTCTCTGCTTATTCCCTTTTAGGATTCTCGGGTCAGAGCAAAAGATTATGGGTGGTAAATCAGAGTGACAGGTCTGGAAGGGACCTTGGAGGTCTTCATAGAGTCACAGGCCTGGAAGGGACCTTGGAGGTCTACATAGAGTCACAGGCCTGGAAGGGACCGTGGAGGTCTTCATAGAGTCACAGGCCTGGAAGGGACCTTGGAGGTCTACATAGAGTCACAGGCCTGGAAGGTACTTTGGAGGTCTTCATAGAGTCACAGGCCTGGAAGGGACCTGGAGGTCTTCATAGAGTCACAAGCCTGGAAGGGACCTTGGAGGTGTACATAGAGTCACAGGCCTGGAAGGTACTTTGGAGGTCTTCATAGAGTCACAGGCCTGGAAGGGACCTTGGAGGTCTTCATAGAGTCACAGGCCTGGAAGGTACTTTGGAGGTCTTCATAGAGTCACAGGCCTGGAAGGGACCTGGGGGTCTTCATAGAGACACAAGCCTGGAAGGGACCTTGGAGGTGTACATAGAGTCACAGGCCTGGAAGGTACTTTGGAGGTCTTCATAGTCACAGGCATGGAAGAGACCTTGGAGGTCTACATAGAGTCACAGGCCTGGAAGGGACCTTGGAGGTCTACATAGAGTCACAGGCCTGGAAGGGACCTTGGAGGTCTACATAGAGTCACAGGCCTGGAAGGGACCTTGGAGGTCTACATAGAGTCACAGGCCTGGAAGG